ACAAGACCAAGTTAAAAACCGTGGCTTCTTCATTGAGTAGTTCTCTTGTCACCTGGTTCATTGAAGCTTGTGTTTGGTGTTGTAGAATTACTCTTGAATTGTATTAACAGGTGGGTTTAGTTAGCCTGGGCGGTCAGAGAGATTGGAGCTTCCCTCAGAGCTGGGAGAAATTAGTCAGGTTTTAGATATTGAGGTCTTAGAACAGTTGTATGTAAGAGGGAAAATTTAAGTGGCAGTTTGTTTTGGGAGTACTTACCAATAAATCCCAGGAAGACTAAACATCTGCCTGTACACAAATACAGCACACCCTTTTGCATACTTTGTGGGAGGGTTTATTTTAACGAGAACGTATTAAGATGTTATTTTTTTTCCAAAATTCAGGGATTCATAATTTTGTGTGTGTATGGCAGATGTAATGGTAACAAAAGACAGTCCTTGCTTTTAGGACTTAGGTGAAAAAAAAAAGGGGTTTCAACTAGATCCTTTAAACCATTTCTACCCAAGACATACTGTTTTTTGCAGGACTTTTATCCAAGTAGAGACCAGGCTTGGATAAATTCTCCTTTTGATAGTCATATGACTAACAGCATAGAAGTAGTTTGGCTGGACCTAATCTATGATTATTTTACACTTGCAGAGTTCTGGGTTATGTAAGTAGCGAGGTTATGTGCTGCGTGGGCCAAATTAGGAACTTTTTCATGGCTGATGTATATACAGTATGAGCTTGCGAATCGGCTTTCGAGAAAGTGCGCTTGCCTGGTAGCAGTATCAGCGCACAGAAGAAAGTCGTGGCCTTTGCTCTGCGGGGAATATGTGGGAACTGAAACTGTGCTTTTCCCTTCTCTGTATTTTTTAAATGTTTTGTGTATAACTTTTTTTGCTTTCTGAATATGTATCTTTTGCATCCTTCTTGCTATGAATCTAATCTCTTTAGCTTCATATATTTATTGACTCAATAATGTAATTTTTGTTCTCGTGTTTAAAATGCTTGACTTCCCCCCCCCCCCCCCGAAGATTACATCTTACACCTTTTTTAAAAGATAAAGTGAGTCTCTTCTTTGCTTACTCTTTTAGTCAGTCCCTTCCTTAAGCTTTTCTCCACCGTCTGGGGAGAAAGAAGCCTTAGCTCATATTGTTTTTTGATGAATGTAGGCGAAAACCATCGCCTTTTTATTTCCAAAGTGTTTTGCAGTTCCCACTTGTCCCTGCGAGGCTTGCACTGCAGAGTCCCTATACATTTCGGTGCTGCTTCATTTTCACAGCCCAAGGAGGTACGGTTTCATGCATTCTAGAAGCGACGCAGCGTTCACTCAGTATATTGGGATAATTGTGGCTCTTGCTTCAATCATCATTTCCTACAGCACTTCACAGAAACTGAGAGCTCTTACGAGTGCACACACGAACAGAGATCAAGAAGATTGTGGTCTTACCTGCTTAAGCTCAGCAGTTCTTAGCGGTTTATTGCTGGCTTCCTGTTAATTCCACTTCAGTTTTAGAAGTCTTGCTGGCAGAACTTATTTCATCATGTAAGATGAAATTGTTCTAGAGAATTATACTGCCAAGTTTGTTATTTTTACCATCTTATGCCTGTTATCTTAAAGTATTTAGTGTCTTTGCTTCCTTTGTTTCATTAAAATGTGGTAAAACTACGTAATGCATCTTAACTCATAATATACTAAGCTGTTACTTAGTTAAGCAAATATATTTTAAATTTTTTCATCACTGTACTAGTGTGAGGAGTCCCTAAGATTTTTTTTCAGGTTAGCAGAAGACTTAAACGAGAGTTGAGATTCAGCTTAAATTTGTTAATAAAATGACATGTTGTGATTGCCTAGTGGTTTTTCTAATAGTCCTCTGTTTCTATGACTTTCTCGTGAAGGAGAAAGCTTATCTTGTATTAGCCTTTCTCAAAAATATTCATTGCTGTACAACATTGGAAACAGAATAGTTACCCCAGTTTAAAAATGATTAACAGAATCTACGTTTCACTAGCATTCAGGAATTGAAGGGAGTGTTAATGTTAGACTGTTTCTTTTTTCTTTTCCTCAGTTTTCCTTATTTACTTCACTCCTATTCACGACTGGGGTTAGTACATCTTTCTGTATTTTTGGTTATATTGCTTTATCTGTGCTTTATAAATACTGTTTGTAATCAATGTAAGTAAATACAGTGAACTTAGCAGGTGGAGTTGGTTTTATTTGGGAAGACCGTACCTCTGGAGCATTAAGGGAGAATAATGAAAAATTAAATATTTGCCAAGAACTTTGTACAATGATGGAAGACCCAGGAAAACTCATCTTTGGAAGAGGCCAGGCTACGTCTCTGAGCTCACAGGTCAGCGTGGCTGGTGTCTGCCTGGTGCTACCTCGGGAGGCTGTGCTGGGGTCTGCATCCCTCTGCACTCCTGTCTCAGCTGCTCTGTCCTCTACCGAGCAAACAAACCCTGCGTGCACCTTAGCTACTGGAGAACAAGGGTATAGGAGAGATTGCAAGTTGAATCAAGTGCAGTGGGATACACTAGATCTACTTTGCAACTTTTTTCCCGCACTGTTCCCTCTATAGATCCTCTACATAGGGCGTCGCAGCCAGTCTGGGTTAGGCTGGGGGTCTGCAGCCCGCGGGGGCAGCCAGGCTCGGCACCGGAGCTGCCCTGAAGACCCTTCTGCTGTGCTGACCTGTTCTCTCAGCTAACAAGTCTGACCAAACTGAAGTTGTCTCTGCATGAAGCCGATTCTGGATTGTCTGCATCGGTGCTCCGGGCTGATCTACAGCCCAGATCGACTGCTCTGATAATGGAAGGATTGACTGAACTACTGTGTCCTGCAGAGATAGCTTCTGTGGAGTAGAACTTGGCATTTTTGTTAAGATCTTCACAGTAATATCCCATTGATAGTCATCATAAAAGAATACTGACAACCTCTGTAAAGAAAACATAAGTTTGTTAATGCTGTTTTAAGTACATTATTACAAAATTGATGCAACAAATCTACTTTTGATTTTTAAAAGCTGTTTTTCTGTATATAAATTATACCTGCCGTTTGTTCTGCTTAGACGTGTGAATGAACAGAAATCTAGGATTTGAGCATCCAGCTAATTTGAACTGAATTTGCTGTTATTTGCAACTGCGAAAGGTAGATATGAAAACAAGTTCAAATTTGAGCTGAGAAAGTAAGCTCTCGAGCAATTAATGTTTTCGATTCCTCGGTTATTTCTGTTTGAAGGACTATGCCCTTAAGTAAGGAGAGGCCTTGCGTCAAGTGAAGCTGGTTTGTATTGCTATAGGGTGCTTTTCTTTGGTTGTTTTCTTTGGTTTTTTACTGTTTCTGATTCTGCATCTTGCCTGCAGAGCTCTTGGAAATCATGGTTACCTTTGAGTAGCGTAGGGCAGTGGTCTGTAAATCTGTGCCTGTCTCATCACGGTGCTTGTAAAGTGTCTTCATGCCAACCAAAAACCAGATCTAATTAGAATACTTTTAGGTCAAAACTTCCTCTACCACCTCAGGACTAATGGATGGATGCTTTTTAATTTGTGGTGACATAATAAAAATCCATTTTGAGACAGAAAATGTTCTGTAGTTCATAATATGCCACTTAAGTGGTAATTTGAGCTATTGTATTAGTGCTAATAGTGTGACCAATAATAGGAGATATTGTGTTGCAAGAGATGCCATCTGCTGAATGAAACGTAAAACTGAGGTTCTGACCTCTGGTGCGAGTCTGAAAGGCTCAGTGGCAGGGATAGGTATGTTAACCCCAGCATGCTGGACAAATTCCAGACTCAATAACAGCATTCTTCCTAAATGTAATTTATAGCTTCATCTGGATGTAGTATTTTCTTTTGCTTATTCAATTGTTGAGTTTTATTAAACAGTTGCTGCCTTTTAAATTGAGTGATCTTTTCTACGTGATTTTGCTTTTAAAGGCCTTTGGAGTTTTGCATTCCAAGAGGTGCTAAATAAATTTTTTATACTCTTTTAAAAAAAACTGCCCTCCCCCCCTACCCTCTCAGTGCTTAATGAAAGTTTTCAATGAGGTGCCATCAGAACTTTTATGAAGATGTACATTGTAATAGAAACTAATGCAAACTTGACCTGCTGTTTTCGTAGATGGGCATTGTGTATAGCTACTCATGTACCATCAATAAAGAGGTATTGATCCATGAGAAATTAGAAAGGAAAATTTAGAAAACCATCTAAAAGGAATTCGGGAATCATGAAAACGTTTTTTAGACACATATAGAAACAGTCATATTGTAATACTACTTGATCTTTTTTTCGTCCAAGTGTATCGGTAACAACAGACATCTATTACAGGGGAATGGATAACATGATTGAGAACAGAGTATCCTACAGCCGTGTTGGAACTTGTAACCAAGAACAAAGTATGTGCCCAAACCCTTGCACCTGTATTCAGTTTCTGGCATTATTGGGCCTGTAGGGTTGGTCTATTTATAGGTTTTCTGCAAAGTGTGTTTCAAATCTGAGTTTGATATTAAGAAGCTGTGTGCAAGTGTCAGCTCTGCGGGCCAAAGACAGGGGTTTGGACACGTAACTTCTGCTTTTCCTGGGTTTTGTTGGAACATTGTTATTATTAGTAACGTATTTAATATGTAAATACAAGCACATAGTAGCAGCTGTAAACTCTTTGATTATTTGCCAAACTAAATTGATCAGACCTTAAGAACATTGTTCAAGAAAAAATTTCCTTCCTTTCCTTCTCCAATAGCTGCAAAATTACTTTGGTAACACCAGATTACTTTGTTAACGGGTGAATACTAGGCAGCGTGGTTTAATTTGTTTTGCATTCTTCCTTCAGAGTAGAAGCACTGCTTTTTTTTTCCCCCCACATTTGATAAATTGGCAGTTTTTTGTTTAAAAGCATTTAATCACTAAATGATTTGAAAATGTGTTTAAAATAGTTGGACTGTATAACAAATCTAACATACAGTGACAGTAAAAAATGTATGACTGCTAAATTTTAATACTATGGATTTTGTGTAGATCACGATCAAGACCTCGTCAACGTTCTTGTAGTCGAAGTAGTGAAAGATCCAGTCATAGGAGAACTCATAGCGGGTCTCGCGAAAGAGAGCGGCGTAAAGGGAGAGAGAAAGAAAAAATAAGAGAGAAAGGCAAAGGAAAAGAAAAGGAGATATATGGCACGAAGCATGGGTAAGTGAAATGACAAACAATGTAACTATAATAAAAACAGGGAACAATTTAGTGTCGTTTTATTTTTTTGTAATCAGTTTGTTTTGTAGTAAATGATATTTTATATAAACTCAGTGGAAATTATTTAAAATCTGCAAATAGTGTGATTCTTAGTATTTTAAAATTCTGGAATGTGACAACATTTCAAACTAAATGATGGCTTAATTTACAATTATTTTTTCCCCTTGATTTGCAGATACGCTCAATATCTTTCTTCAATTGATTAATATAAATATTTTTCCAGTACATAATAACCAAAATTTAGGGAAAATATGAGGAGTATTGGAAAGCAAAGACTATTTCTTACGAAAAGCTGGTTTTCACTGTTCACACCCACTTCGACATTGCCAGAAGTTCCTACTGGGCTTCGTTTGTGGCTCAAAGCACAGTTTCAGCAGAAGCACTTGCTATGGGTGAATGATGGACTGCCTTTCAGAACCTGCTGTCAACCTAATTTCTGCTTGAAATGACTTGGATTGTTGATCTTGTTTTTACAGCTGTCAGAAAAGGCAATCTTATGTAATTATTTCTGCTTCATACACCTTGGTCTCCCTCAACCTTTACTGTGATGTTCATCTTTGCCCCGTTTATGTGATTGGTTTGAAAACGGAGGACACTACTGTGTGTCTTCTTCATGAATATCCCTTTGGTGGATTCCCACTGCAACGCTACATGGGAATTTTGAGTAGCATCCTCCCTCCACCCACGTTCGTGAAGGTATCTCACAATTACCTCCCTGGTTTTACGGCTTGATGATATTAGTTATTCAGTCTCCCAGATACCATTACCTTTCTGTCCATGCTTATAGCACTGATACGTAAATATTCAAGATTAGCTATTTGCATGGGTTTTTTTCCTATTTGCAATATATTACTTGGACTGCCTGGAACTTCAAGAGTGGTGTCTTCCACTCATTTTAAGGGATGCTTTCCTCATTTTACTAAACCATGTGGGATATTTCTCTCTTGATGTTGTGGATGTTTTCAGCAATCCCTAGCATTCAATATAAACAGAACCCCTGAGGCGTTTGCAGTGTGTCTGATAAGTCACAAACAAGATGCCTTTTACCCGTTTACCTGAAGTTCAAATATATTTTGGGACTTGTAGAAGACTTGAGGAGAAGCCTGGATGTTCCAGCTGAAATTGTGTGTTTTTCTTTTTTTTTTTTTTTTTTAATTGAAGTGGAAAAGTAGGGAAAGGATCCATACTGAGCACATAACGTTTCGTGTGAGAGGTTTTCTGGACTTCTTGTAGAAGCACATCTTAAATCATGTTAGACTCTATAGCAGTGCTCTGTTAGCATATTGCCTGACTTTATGTCCTTTTATAACAAGGATCAATATGAACTAGCTGTAGGAAGAACACTGAAGTGCCTAGAATTTTTTTGGACGCAAGCAATTTATATTTTGGTAACTTACAAAATTGCTTATGGTAAATTTGCAAACAAAATGCCCTGTTTGGGTCATCTCCAAAGTAGTTAGGACAAAGAGTACAAATTGGTAATAGCAACACTTCATGACATCAGTCCATTTTCCTCCGAGCTCAGGTACTGACTGGTAGGCTGTGTACAGGGATTTCTTACTTGGAGCATTATTAGACTACAAAATGAAATGTACTTGGGATGATGGTGATATAATCTGTGCTTCATAAACTTTCTGAGGAGGAGGGGCAACATGTTTTTTGATTTAATCAAATCGTGATCAAAGTATATCTGTACAGAGAATATGGATCTGAGAAGCTTTTTCCCTTTACAGTTACTTGTCGTTCTGAAGATTGAGACTGTATCAGCACTACATTATTGTTTGTTAAAGGCTCTGCAAAGCAACATATTCGAATACACAGAGAAGACAGAGCTCTTTGATGCAATTGCTTTTTGCAATTCCTGCACAATTATTTTGTCTCGGAGTATTCTCTTACAGACCCCAGCGAGAGTGAATTAGGAACCTGCAGTTTTCCTTAAATGCATGCGTGTCGCAACAAAGAGAGTTAGTGTAGTTTGTCTTTGCCTTGTGTATGCTCCAGGAAAATGAGGCTAAGTAAGATGTTTTACAGTTGTGTTTTTGTATGAGGCTTCCTCAAGCCTCCCAATCTCTCATCTTTTTCCCTCTGTGTCATTTATTTATGTATTTACTTTTCACCCAGAAAGAAAATATAGGAAAGAAGAGAGCTCCTTGGCCAAGAAAGCTCACCTGTCCTTAGTTTATAGATGTATAGGAAGGAGGATGGTACAAAACAGAGTGAACCTTTTGCCTGTCTAAGTCTATTGGCTTCTGGCATTTTTTACTTTGTTTTCTGCAGCAGGCAGATTTGATGCTTTGTTTGTTCTGTCTTGATGCTTATTTCTGAGGAAAGCACCAAGATAGACTTTTTTGTTTTCCAGTAACTACAAAGCCTTTTGTAGTTGACTGTGGTCAGCAGAAGGTAGCAAGTTGGTTTTGCTGATATTTTTTGAGGATCTATGTTATAATTTAGGATTTTTGCCTTGTAGTGGTGTCAGATGTCCTTTTGTGGGTATGGTTAGAATTATAATTCTTATTATAGCTTGCCTCTGCAGCCGAGTGCCTTAGCAGATTCTGCAACTGATGACGATTTGCTGCCTTGGCTGGAACTTCACTGCTCACCCAATGGACTTAATGCTGGAGTAGGCCAGGAAGCACTAAAACAATTTTCTCCGTCAGCTGTCTTCATCGGAGAGACAGTAAACAGAGATAGGTGACACCTCCTCAAAACGTGTGGGTTTCTATTCTCGTTTTAAATTGGATCCAGTTTGGACAGGAAAAAAAAATATTTTATTTTTCCTCCTGGCATATTCTGCTGTAACTAACACAATGATAGTGCTGTTTTTTCAACTTGCTGTTCACATTTGTTTTTTTCTCTGAAGTATGAGGAAGAAAGTCTAAATGGACACAAAAATGGCTGCCAGGTGTACAGTTGGATGTGAAATACTGAGAGGAATCTGTTGTAGATGACTCCAAGTGAGTGAATTTCTAGATCTAGGGTCTAGATCTGCACTGAAAGTAAGATTACTCTACAGAGCCTTTCTAGAAACTCCCAACAGCAGGGGATCTGTAGAGGAAAAAATAGTCCTCTGACCTCTGTATTTGGAAGAGATCCTTACAGGTACTCCAACACACATCAAGGGCCAGATCCAGTTTCCAGTTTAAATTCATGTATGTTTGGAATGTATTTATAGAAAAAAGCTACCTTGAAGCTATAATGAAGATCATCCGAAAGCCAGATTGTGAGAAGACGGAATATAAGTTATCAGGTGCTTGTTGACTTTAAGGTGTAACTTTGCATGAAAAACTGTATTTCAGTTTGTCAGCACTGCAGGTTATCTGATGGAAGTAGTCATATATTTGGGACTTGACTGTTCCTCTAAAGTGGAGAATCAAAATGCAATTCTTGCACTAATTAAGGAGTAAATGGTTTTGTTTGTGGCTCATAGAAACTCTAATGATAATTTTCTGTGCTTGGCTTGTGTATGTTTATAGATGTGAAGAGGGAAGGGCTTGTATTTGGTTTTTAAATCAGGGCAACTTTAGGTTCTTTCAAAGTAGATCTTGTCTTCACAGTAGACATCTCGAGAGATTTCAAGAGTAAAAAACACTGCCATAGTAATCCAGTCATCGTCCTTTGGCATTCTCCTTTTCGGTGAAGATTCTTTAAGGATGAGCACTGAACTTCTTGAATGTTGGAGAAGTGTCAGCTGTTTTGTGGAGACAGGCTGTATTACACTCTGGCAAAACAGCTGAACTCTTCTGTTCTTACAGTCTGAAATGTTTTAGGGGATATACTGTTTGTTCAGCCATTATGGAGGGAGATTGTGGTAACAGCTGCTTTGAATTTGGGTTGGGAAGCTCATTTACAGCATCTGATGGTACTTGGTGAAAAAACCTGGAGTTAACAGTCGTATCAAGCTTTGAAATAGTTTTGTACTCACTTAAAAGGTAAAGTAACACAAACTCAGAAGGTGTCCCAGCAGCACACCCTAAATATTCACAAACAAAAAAAAAATGATCCATCTTTCAGATTATCAGGATTATTTCATTTCCAGTGAAAACTCTTTGCAAAATGAAACTGATGACAAGCAGGGAGCAAGAAAAGTTCTTAACTAGTTCATATTCAACTACTGCAGTGCTACTTATTTCCCTTCCATTTTGCAAGTAATCTGAACTAACCAGTTTGCTTTTGCTGCTTTGGTCTCCTAATCTCACAGTAGTTCGAACTGTGTTTCGCCCCCGCCTCTTTTTTTTTTTTGTTTTGTATTCCTGTTGCAGCGCATGGGAGAAAGAGCTTTATTGCCTGGAAGGATATAAAAAAAATAAATCAATAAATGGTATGGCTTTTTCTGAATAACTGTTGCCAGCATTTCCAAAGTAAAAGCACTTGCTCAGCCTTGCAGGCTTTTCTATTCATCCAGTCTCCCAGGCCAAGTTTCAAATCATATTTCTCTGTTTGTAATAACAATATTGTTCTCTAGTTATGACCCATGACTGCAGTAGTGATGTTGTGCGCACTATTGCTTTGGGCCGGTACTATATACTAGAACTCTACCAATGCTCGTACTTCGTAATTAGCGCACACATGGCTGGCGTTCCTGTTCTCATGAAAGTTTAACTGACAAGCGCTGTATCAAGGTGTTACCGCACCTTTAACTTTTAGGGAACACTCTATATCTACTGATATGTTATGAAGTGTTACAAATAAAATGGAATTGATAAAATAATGTACATCTTGTGATGCGTTATCATTTTCTGTTAACTCTGCAAAACTTTATAATATTATAGACATCTGGTGTCTAGTTCTTACCAAGATGTTTTAGTCTAGTGATTTTCTTTTATTAAATTTTTGTTTATTTGAAAAAAGTGAAACTTTAGTGTTCTTTGTTCTGCCAGAGTAGTTTATCAGGTCCTACATTTGGCTGTCCCATTTCCTGTTTTTCTTCTCTTGGTTGAATTTTTTTTTTTTCCCCTTGTAAAAATGAATCTTCTATGAGAGTATGCACTCTGAGCTAAAACAAAAAAATGAGTAGCATTGATCAGAAAAGGTCACTGAGTAAAAAAGGAAGAGCCTTGTCTCTGCATTAAAGGAATGGGACCGGCTGGGTTTAATTTCCAACGGCTTTCCAAGGAGGGAGTTGCAGTTCTCACAGTAGGCCCTTGCTATGTGGTTTTGATTGATTATGGGAAAATTAGTGATGGTCCTCCTGGAAGTATAATGATGTACTTTGTCCTATCAATTTGTCTTTAAAAAAAAAACAAAACCCAACCTAAATCTTATTGGTTGGTAAAGCTGAATTGCACTAATTTCTAGAGAGAAATGTACATTTAAAAATAAGATTTGAACAAATGACAGTAGGGTTTTTATTAATCCTTTCTTCCTATTGAAGATTCTGTCCCAGCAAAATAGGAAAACGAGGTGCTAAATACAGTCTGGTTTATCAATCAAATGCTAATTCATTGGAAGTACTATGTTTAGAAAAGAGAAGTTACAGGTAAGCAAAACAGCTTTCTCCTGTTACAACAGCGTATTACTTGAGTTCTACATCAAGGCTGTGTTGGAAGAGGTTCAAGCTTCAGTTCCTTCTGCTCCTTTCTGGTGAGGTCTCCAGGTGCCTTAGGCTCATGTACCATTGCCCCCCCTGCCCAAGTTGAAACAGTCTTGGCCTGCTTTTTCTGACGTGCCAATGTGATGTATATGTATGGTTTTTATTCTGGTTTCCCCTTAGATAAGACTAAAGCAGGCTTCCAGCCAGTCCCAGACCGTAATTTTTATTTTATACACCTATGGTACCTATGGGGTACTTCCTTATCACTGTCTTTCAGGCTTCCAGCACTTGACACACATTCTGTTTTCTTCTTTTTCCTTCATTTGTGACTTGTTTTAAGAAGTGATCTATCATGTTCACTGGAAGGAAGCAATTACTTGCTTATAATGAAGTAGAGCAACCCTTCTTCTCCTCCCATGTTTCTTTGGCTTCAGAGCTTAATAGAGCAGTCCAGTTTGAAAGCCTTGTTCTTTATTATATGGGATATGACTTGCTAATGTAGTATTAGCGTTTAGGTCATTAGCGACCTTTTAAAAATGCGCTATAGTGAGGTGTTTTTTCTAAATGTTGTAAGGCGGCTTATTTGACAAGCACGCTAGCACTGCAGTTTTGTCTTCTACATGCAATGAGATATTTTCTGTAATACTTTAAAGGTATCAACATGAGTAACTGTTCCCAACACGTATTCTTCTAAGATGGTATTAAATCTGGGAAATACGTATATTTGTAGTGTTTCTAAAAATAATGGTACGTAGTTCTGTTAAATCATGACTTGAGGACTAGATCAGAGTGACATCTTGTCATTAAGTGCCTTCAGGCTTTGTTAAAATGGCCCCAGCGCTCAGAGGGAGGGTGGGGCTGGATTTTCGCCGTGGGTGGGGTGTGCTGTGTGGGCCTTGGGTGACACCCTTCGCTCGTGTTCCACAAGGTGGACCTGGTCCCTGCAAATCACGGCTTACGGGCTCTGTGGGAGCTCAGTCGCTACTGGAGTCCTTTCCGCTCCCAGGTCCCACTTATAGACCAGCAACTTCTGCATGCTAGTAATCTTCAGATGTCAAAGTCTTCCCAGGTGAAGGGTTTTATAGTACTTGAACATGTAATTATACCACGACAATATTTTTCTGCTAAATTTTTTGCTAATCAAAGCATTACATTAATCATTTATTTATGCTTTTATTTAATTCACTTGTTTTGAAGCATGAACTTGCATACATGTGTTCATTGACCTGTATGTGCGTGCTGTTGAATTTTGATGTTTAAAGTCTTGATTAGCTTAAAAAACATGCAAGTTCCTGCATTCTGAGACGTGCTTTTCATAAAGATCGTTGCTCATTGTTGAATTGGGGGGGGACAACCTGCTAAAAACTTGTTAGCTGTAAGTAAATTTTACTAGATTTATGGGTTTCACCCTAGCTTTCTTAGTAGCGGGATTTTGGATTACTTTTAAAACTGTTTTTGAGAGTTTTTAATGGAATAAATTAGGAGTAGCTTCTCAGTAGTTATGAAAAAAGAAGTGTTGTGCCATTAATCAAACCCGACTACCATTTTAATTTCTGGTACTTAATAAGGCTATCGATACATTTGTGCATTAACGTTTTCACAGCTTCTTAAATACTTTGACAGATATTACAGAGCTGAAGAGTTTGTTTTTCAAAAGTAGTCTTCATTTTTCCTTTTAATTCCATATGTTAGCTCTTTAAATTGAGGTCCCTCTGTCTAGGGGACCTTTTTCAGTGGCGTTTAACCAAAGCACTTGCAGAGTTTTATTTTCTGTGCTCGGCCCTGGCAGCGTCCCAGCAGGTTCAGCCGGCGGCACTTGTGTGATAAATGCCTGTTGATGAGCTTTTCGGTGCTTGGCAGAAGACATTAGAGGTAAATTGGGAATATTGGACCTCTCGGAGTTTGACAGCACTCACACGCTCCTGGAGCTTGTAATTTTTTTTTTTCCTTCTTACCTCTTTCCACGCTGTGCAGTAGGAAGTCATTTATGGTAATTTTCTCCTATTTGCATATAGGTTATAGAGTTCTGTGGTGCAAAGCACACTCAGAACTCCTTTTAAGTGTCTGTTCAGATCAAAGCGGGACTGTGTGATAGCTGTTGTCTGACACCAAGCTGTGTGGTGTTGTTTTCATTAAACATTTATCATACTTCCAGTGTGACAGCAGGCAACTCTGTGCTTGGGTAACATGTTTTCATGCAAAATTTATTGAAAAAGACGAGATGTTGTAAAGAGATCTCGTTGCCTTTCACCAGTGGCGAAGGGTAGATCTTTGATTGGAAAGAAAGGTACCTCTAGCATGTTTTGGTTACGCTGAAGAGCTGTGAAATGCTTGGCTTTTAATAAGCAAGTAAATGTATCTTAAAATTGTTTGTTTTGAGAAACTTTGCTTTGACAGATCACGTGAATGTTTTTTCATTCTGATGCTACTTGGTTTTAACAACAGTTTACTATGGTCCCATAATGATGGAATAGGCTAGCTGCGGAAAGTAGGAATTACTAGGGTAATCTTTGCAGTATAAACCACGCTTTTTTGACAAAAGTAGGTAGGGTACTATATTTACTTGACAATATACTACTTTACTCTAAAGTATGATTGATTATTCATATTTAAGGAATATTTCAGTCTTCTGGCGATTTATTTTGTTTTGAAGCACTTCTATTGTAAACCAAACCTTTTCCAGCCTGAAATCAGGGGAAAAAAGGGGAAAAGTCTTGTATCCTTTGAGTTATACTAGTACATTTAAAGAAGTTTACCAGTAGGACACATCAAACAGTTATGATTTAGCAAGAAGTTAATTCATGTTATTATTTAATCATTTTCAGCATTTCTACAGCCAAGATACTCAACTTCCAAAAGACTGTTGTGCCTGCGTAACAGGTTCCCTTTGCAGGAATGTTCACCAGCGTTTTTACTGAAAAAACCTCTAATCTTAATTTTGTAATCATGTCCTGTTGCAGAAAATCTCCCGTTCTCTGTAACTAACGCATACTTCGGGCCGGATTGGCGCTGCCCCTTCGTGAGCACACTGCAGGGGAGGGCGTGCTGGCGGCTCCCTCCCAGGAGGTGCCCAGTGGGAGCTGCGGTCCGGCAGCCTGCTTCCTTGGGCGCTGGGCTACAGCCGCGGACTTCTGCCTCCAGCAACACTGCGTGGCTTAAGGAAACCTAAGGCTGCCTTTGCTCCTGCGTTGGGTAGTGTCTCGGGGCTGGCAGGAAAGGAGGAGCTCATGGTGTGCGCCTTCAGTAGAGGTAACCAGTACCTCCTCCTGCCTACTTGGGGTGAGCCTGTCCTTCAGCGCCGCGCGACGGCAGTTCATCTCACCCCTGCTCCATGCAGCCGTGATGTTGGCCGTTGCTGCCTCTGGTATGTTGTGAGCGCTGGATCTCGGTTACTGCCTGCAAGGTGTTTCACGTGCTGCTGAAGAATGTTCTGTTTTTTCCCAGTGTAAGAAATGAAGACATATTCTTACAGAGTTTGGTTATTAGAAAATAGTTTTAATGCACAAAGAGTCTGCAAGTGACCCCTGCTCCATGCAGCCGTGATGTTGGCCGTTGCTGCCTCTGGTATGTTGTGAGCGCTGGATCTCGGTTACTGCCTGCAAGGTGTTTCACGTGCTGCTGAAGAATGTTCTGTTTTTTCCCAGTGTAAGAAATGAAGACATATTCTTACAGAGTTTGGTTATTAGAAAATAGTTTTAATGCACAAAGAGTCTGCAAGTGCTCTTTTTTTTTGGGGGGGGGGGAATAAATTTATAAAAACCCTCAAACTTTCCTGTATATAAAGAAGATTTATAAAAAAAATTAATTCTTCTATAGTTCTTGCTTTTCTGTTGCTTTCACAGAAGGCATCTCTTTCTTCATCCACCTCCTAGCATGGCCCTAGAAAAGGATTATGCCAGCCAGGAAAAATGAGAGGTGAGCCTGCCATTGCTTAATGCCATTTCCAGCTGCTTTTTGCTATGACAGTACAGCCTGAATGGTATTGGTGATGCTGCACAAAATTTTTGTAAACCTTCTTTCTTAATCTAAGAGTTGTGCTGCTGTAGCCATGACAGTTTAAGTTTATACAAGAAGTGGAGTTGGCTGGGAAAAATGATATCTTTCTTTTAGACCAGCTGGTGTAAGTAGGGGAAAATGGCCAGGCTTTTAATGACGTGAAGCCTTCATCAGGTCTCACACCGACTCAGCAATCACCCAGCTTCAGTTCAGGTTGGGAGCAATTCCTCTGGGTGCAACACGTTTATGTTAACCGATTAGACAATAAGCTGGACGAGTAGCTTATCACTTCCCATACTGTCCATGGTGACGAGCGGTGGCTCTCAAAATCTGCAAAATGTTAGTGTTTATCTGATCCAATTATGCACATGCTGGTTCCAAAACATGTTCTCTGTAGTTGTTTGCCTTCAGTATTCGTGTTCAATCATCTCTGTTCACTTACAAATGGGATTTTGTCACACTGAGGCTGATCTTGTCACTCTAAAACCTTTTCTTTAAAATCTTACATGACAAAATATATTTATCAAGTAGCAGAAGTGTGCAAATATAAGTTGATGTTCAAAGTGCTACAACGTTTGTTTAATTTGCACCACTCTGTCTCCGTTTCATGAGTTATTCTTAATTATTTGTATTGTTTTTAGCACTTTAATTTTAAAGAGGCTTATGAGAATAATATAGCAAAAGTACATTGTGTTTATTTTGCTGTTTAAGAATTCAAAAGAAACAGCATACTTTTGTAAGTTTTGATTCAAAACATAATAAATAAGGATTGCTCCTGGGCTGAAACCTTGCCTGCCACGTTTCAGCCTTGATCATATTTTTGTTGTTGAGTTACAAGCATCCTAGGTGCTTATAATAAAATTATGACAGACACTTACCTACAGTGGAATGAACAGTGTCACTAGTGAAAATTCCCTGTTCAAGAATAGCAGACTCTGTGGCCCTATGTCCATATTAAACACAGTAATTTGTAGAAAAATTGTAAAACTTCTTTAAAATCTGTTTAAAATTAAGAAATGTATTTTGAGTGCTGAAACCAAGCTACTTCAGTCCAGTCTTGGGAAATAGTTTGAGCACTTATAGCAGAGTTTTCTTTGTTCTTTTGTCAGAGAGGAAAAATCTTTCCTTAATCCGAGTGTTTTTATTTTCAGTGTCTGGACTAAATTATGAGGACTTTATAAAAGCTACAGTCACGCTGCTGAGATGTTGTTATAATAGAGTTTTAAGTTACTGTAACTAATAAGTACTATCAGGCATCTTATTTTGGTAAAGAAGAATAGCGGATAATAAGCTTCTAAAATTCCATGGCGAGTTGAGCCCCTCTGTCAGACCTGCGGTATCTTTGACTGCCAGCCCCTTGCTCTGACTTCCTACAGAGTGGGCTTTCAAGGGCCTTTAAGATGTATTTTCATGGCAAGGGAGTTATTTATCCAGAAACAAAATCAAAACAAAATGACCCCTCTATTTATTTATTTTCACTGCTTTACCTTTCCTTTCTATCTCATTATCTTCCCACCCCGCGCCCCAGCAATGTTTGTGCCTGACTTACATTATTCTGGTTACGAGGGTTTGCTTAAACTAGTTGAGGAGCACAGAGTGATTGAGTTACACTTTGAGGTTTAGTTTTGAAGAGTATTTCTGACTTCTGTTCTTCAGCGTTGGTTTCACAGAAGTGGACCCGTGTCAGCTGTATCTCCTGTAGCACGCAGGAGCAGCAGCGGGCGCTCGGGCAAGCGTGCTCCTCAGCGCTGTGAGATCAAAGTTCCTTGGGTGGAAACGACCTTCCGTCTCTACCAGTTAACTAGTCTTCACCCTAGAAATGTTAAAGTTTGTGGACCCGTTTATTTGTAGTTTTCCCTTGAGAGAAATCTGGTCTCCTTTTACCCAACCTGAGGAGAGCCACAGCTGAGCGCCGCTCGCGTTAACCCTCACTCGCGTTCCTTAATTTCTTCCCTTTACGATCGTTCTGCCCTTTGCTTGTGTTAGTGAGCGACTATGCAGTCTGCCAGCACTACGGCTTCCCAGAGGGAAGCAGGGATGTCTTACCACGACTTACTTGAAAGTCGCCTTCAAATAAGCTGTAGGCAGGTGAGCTGTAATGTAATGCTGTATATAAGGAAAAAAAAAAAAAGTGTTTTTTTATCACAGAGTTTAAAAGGGAGCAATGCATGGAAGAAAAAAGCTGAGTAAATGTGACTCTGTGGTAGCTCATCTTTTCCTGAAACATCTTTTTTTTGTGTTATTAATTCATTACTAACTCTTACAACTAATAAGAATAACTTTTAGTGGTTATAACGTCAGAATCCGAAGGGATTAATAATGCTGTGTTATTTTTGTCATCAGGAAGTTTCTCGGTAGATACGCCGCCCTTTCCATAGCTGAGCATCAGCAAATAGTACAAGAGGCTGATGTACTATGGTGCTTCCCCACAGAGTATCCCAGAAAGAACAAGCACTAGTTTCTATTTGTGTTGTTTTATATCATAAACATTCATGAAGAGAAAAATTGAAAACATAATTAAAATGGAAGCATAGTAGAATTCTGGTATGATCAAATGCTAACAAAATCCAGCTGGCCAGCATGCGGGATTCGGGCTATTCTGTTTTAAAACATTTATCTCTGTTAATCCCAGAAAAACACAAAATGTAGAAACGTGAAGTAAAACATGGTAGGGAAACCTTCTGCAGTTGATTATTTTGTTATTTTGAACTGGAGAATTGACTATATGGAAAATATTTCATTTCTTTATAAAAAACAAAAACAAATTACTTTGGCATTTTCTTTCTTAGCTGGAATTCTATAGTAAAAGTTAAATAAGTTTTGGAAATTGTGAAGAAAGAGTACCATTATTTCAGATCCCTGCCTTACCCCTACTTATGTTTTCCAGTCCAGTATAGAAGAACTCCTTTTATATTATGCTACCTCATGAGGTGCAGGTCATAATTATCACCACTGTAGTGTAAAGTAAAAAGATTGCATTTTTGATACTTTTCTTCCAGAAAGAATTGTAGTCTGAGGCATCTCCTTAAAAAGAAATACTTCAAATTTTGTTGTCTTTCTATTACTTCTTCCTCAAAGGATACAAAGGATTCCCTAGAGGATATTTTAATCTGCCTTCACTGTGGCGACACAGTTTTTATCATCACATTTTGAAGCTGCAGTAATAAAAGCAGATGTGACCTGTGCTGCTTTTGGCGCTTGTTGTAGAGCAAAGACCAGTATTCTTAACCATTTTAATAAAAATCTCTTAAACTTCCATGTTTTGTTTGGGCTTATGTAGTGAGAATCTCAAGAGGAAAAGCAAATGGGGACAGATCTTCCAGACAGATGTCCTGGTATTCTTTAATGTCTTTTAAAAATGGAGAAGTAAAATCATGTGGATAAATATTGTAGTAGTGGTTGATCTTGTAGCAATGCATCGCAACAGTTCTCTCATCGAGGACTCTGTGGCAAAAGACAGTGAGATCTTGCATGTGTCTAAACGCTCAGGTGGTATGGGTAGTGATGTAGCAGTTCGGAAAAGTTGTCCATCGAACGATTGCTAGATCTTACTTTTTTTAATACAAAAGTGTCTGAATTCTATCTCTAGTCATCACAATTTTGTCTTTGTATTTTTAAAGTTTATTCCTTCAGTAGTTGAACGATGGTTGTCTGGCTCACTCTACAGGCAGAAGGGGCATTTTAATGTGCTACAGGATGATGTTTGGAAAGCAAAACCACGTTGTGGCTTTTCTCAGCCTCTCATGATGTGGATGCGTTCCAAAGGGTGCTAAACTTCAAGGACGCAAAGAAAACCTGGTGTTTACATTGGCTGAGATCTGCTTGCACATCTGAGAGCGGAACAAAATGGAGAAGTGGTTTTGTCCAGAAGCTATGGAAGTAGATGATGGATTTGTTGGGCAGTCTATCCACTCTCATACCCATGCTGGAGATTTTCAGGGACAGGGGTCCTCATGCTGCCTCATGAGTTCTCTTAATAGATTTCTGATCTAGAGATGTATAGATAGCACGTACTTAGTCCTTCTTCATAGGTTTACCACTGATTAAATGTTGCTGTCATGAAGATCATGCACTAGAGTGGTTTTGCAGTTATTACATATAGCCAAAAGCTTATAGCATGGTACCTGCTGATTATAAATGCCTTATATTACTGCAGGCAGAATCTGAATACATAGGTAACTAAGGAAGTCACCTTGTACTCACGGTGGTTCTTTGAGGTGTGTTGTATGCAGATAGATTTAGTAACTTGCCCTTTCAGAATTCTTATTTTCTGATGGAAAAGGAATCGAGTCGTTTGGACCACTTCCCATTCAGATGCTCCAGAGGGAGAGTCATGAGCGTGTCCAGGACGCAGGGTGCCGATGGTGCATAGGAGCATTTTAAAGATGCCAGAAAAATGAGTTGATTAGCTTTGCTGGCAAAAAAT